ATGAGAGCATTCAGGGTCTATCTGGTGTGAAGCCAACGGGCTACCGGAAGCGCTCCTCCAGTATGATAGACGGGGATAACTCATACTGCCTGGAAGCCATCATCCACCAGATGAACTCCTTCCATACGGTGATGTGTGACCAGGGCCTGGATCCTGAGATCATCCTGCAGGTGTTCAAACAGCTCTTCTACATGATCAACGCAGTGACTCTCAACAACCTCCTCCTGCGGAAGGACGCCTGCTCTTGGAGTACTGGGATGCAACTCAGGTGAGCAGTGCCTCACTCCAACACCAGCCAGTATCAGAGCACAAGGCATTTGCCTCTAGCGGTCAAATCCAAATCTGTTTGGCCTTGTCACTGTCCATATGTGACTCAAATCTCCATCTCCTCTTTATTGGTTGGTAAAATTCATCAAAGCTGAGATGATAACTTAGGAAACAAATCAAAAGAGAAGACTACATGCTTTAAAAACTAGATCAGTGTGGCTAGGTCAGAGGGAAATTGATGAGTTAAGAGGCATGAAGGCTCATGTAGAAGCATAAATGTGTTTGATGTTAATGACAAGTTTGAAAATTAAGTATATTTAATACTGCTCCCAAATTAATTTATATGGACATGTCATGTATTTAATCTATGCTTAATTGTAATCAACAATTCATTTATTCTGCTTTTAAAAAGCAAAGAATAAAAACAATGGTACAGAATTTCAAAGCAAAATAGGAGATTAACAATGGTTAATATATTGCATATTGTTATCTTCAAAGTAGTTGTTCAGACCACAAGACATAGATAGACATTAAAAAATCAAACAATGGGGGCTGGAGGTTTAGCTCAGCGGCATAAACTCCTGATTTGCAAGCAGGCAGTCGAGAGTTCGATCCCCGGTACTGATAAAAAGGAAAAAGCCAAAAAAAAAAAAAAAAAAAAAAAACAATGAAAAGCACAAACCATTATTTTTGATGAACAGAGATCAGTAATGTCTTGTGTGTGTGTGTAGATCTTTTCCCTTCTTCCTTTTTCCTTTCCTCTGTCCTAGTTGTTCTTTCCTTTTGAGCAGTTTCTTTCCCTTTCACAATCTCTGTGTACATTTTGGATCTCATTACTCTTGCGGTTGTTTACAGTAGGGAGACAGTACAGTATTTACACGTGCGAGTCTCATTTATTCATTCTTCATTCGACAAATAGTTAACCGAGTGCCGAGCACTCCTCAAGCTTCTAGCCCTGTGCGGTAATTAAGGTGAAGAGAATGTGATAGGATTTGCAGTGGGCCAGAGCAGCACAGCGGGGCGTCCTCACGCCCATCACTTCCTTTTACCTATGGCTAAGGTACAACATAAGCCAACTTGAAGAGTGGCTTCGAGGAAGAAACCTTCACCAGAGTGGAGCAGTGCAGACCATGGAGCCTCTGATCCAGGCAGCCCAGCTCCTGCAGTTAAAGAAGAAAACTCACGAGGACGCAGAGGCCATCTGCTGTCTGTGTACCGCCCTCAGCACTCAGCAGGTACGGCTATTCTAGGCCTCTGTGGCCCTGGTACTTGAGGAGAGCCCCACTTCTGCTCCCATCTGTTCTTCCCAGCAGTTCTTCCTAGTGTTCTCTGCTCGCCTTTGTCTGCCCTACCGACACACTTCTGGGGTGGCCATTGATGGCATGTTCCCGATGAACCCGAGACCACCTTGGTCTGTGAGCCTTTTCCCATAATTCTCATATCCTTCTTCTCACTTGGAAGATAAAGTAGCAAACCCATAGTACATCAAGCTTAAATAACAACTTTTTCGAACAATGAATTCTAGATTGTTGTTTACCTAGAAATTTTTATTTAAAAATTCTGAAATAGTATCACGCATTTGCTTTTTTATAATGATTTTCTTTCTTTACAATTATAATTTCAGTATGGTCATATTTTCACTGATGACTCATATAGTTTTTTATGAAATCACTAAGAGATATTTAAGTGCCCTATTGTATTTAGATTATTACTTGGTTCCAGAAGTAATATAAAAATATTATTATATTACATATATATTACATATAAAAATTCACAGGCAAGTAGACCTTGCCCAGCATTATGAATGCACCATTTGGAAATGAGCCATGAAAATCAGTACAAGGAAACCAGATTTTCCAAACTCAATGCATCTTCTTCCCAATCAGCACCTAGAAACAGTGAACTCCAAATTCAATATAGTACTTATTTGCTACCTCCTCTAATAACTACTAAAAGATATATTATCATGCTCTTAGTAAAACTTCTTTCTCCTGAAAATATATTTAAAGTTTTCCAACTTTTCCCCACTTTTAAATATATTTTACTTTCATGTGTTTACTTTTGAAATGCAGCTGGCTTTGCGTAGGCGCAAGCTACTTCCGTCAAACAGTTGGCAGGTAGAAAACAGATTGTCTCCATTTCAAATAAGCAAATCTCACTGTAAAAGACTTTTTAATAAGGAGAAGAGGGTGTAAGGGTATTTGGGTGTTGTAAGACCTTTCTCACCTGAAGTAAGATCCCCACTTCTTTTTGGAAGAAATTGTTGAATTAAGTGGCTGATGACTCTGGGCAACAGTTTTCTAAACTCCTCATTATTTACAAGTCACCAATCCCAGGGAAGGGACGGGCAGACAAACGTAGCACAGAAGCTTGAATCTATCAGGTGTAGCCATGGATGGAGATTCTAGTGTCTAGCTTCATCTACTTCGTGTGTAGAGGATTATACTCTTGTACCAATGTTATATAATCTCTTAAAGTTCAGAAGTTGACTTCTTTTTATTTAGCTCTGTGCTAAACTTTGTTTTCATTCCAACAGATTGTCAAAATTTTAAACCTTTATACTCCACTGAATGAATTTGAAGAACGAGTAACAGTGTCTTTCATACGAACAATCCAGGTGAGTTTTAAAATATGAATCAATGTTTAAAAGGTCCTAAGCTAAAACTGCAAAGGAACTTAGGTGTTAACCTTCTCTTTATTAATAAAATACAGATTACATTAAAAGCTATAAAGCCTTATATTCCTAGGCTTTCTGCTTAAATAAACATGACCCCTGTCACCCATGAATAACATGTCTGTATACACTTACAGAGGACTGAACTGTTACAACTCTGCCTCTCAAGTATTTTATTGCCAACATGCTACTTACCTAAGGCACAAAGGGAATTTAAAAAGCCAAAATATCAACCATGCCTAAAAATGAAATAAGAAATGTTCTTTAAGAACACAGTTTGAACTATTAAATCTTTTTTAACACTTACGATTCTTGCCCTTAGGAATATGCTTGGGAGAAAACACATTAGACTAATGAGTAAGTCTGCCTTAAAATGAAAATTTTTACTTAAAGATCAGCTTACTCAACCTAAGCACCAGGTAATTTGAGCTGGGTGCCCAGCCTTTGTGTGTCACAGTGGCTAATGGCATCAAATGATAACTCAGAGTATATGTAGTAAATGACAGTTACACAACGGGAACGCCTTGTGAGATATGGTACTTTAACAGGTGAGGTAATGCCAACATGAAACAGATAAGAGTTGGGAGAAAGGGAACCAAAAGAGAGGCTGATCAAAGACGTCGAAGAATCTTAAGGAAACAGGTTTTATATATGAAGTTTAGAAATACTTGGGATTTTATTGAGAACTCCTTGCTGTGCATCAGTGTAGAGATTCACAGATTTAGAAAGGATCCATGACTCTAAAAAGAGCTGTGGTGAAGAATATATGACTTCAACCTTTGTGTGTAGGTAAAGAATAGAGGGCAAGGCTGAAGGAATGGGTGCCAAGTCAGACTGAAGATGGATTGTTCTCTTAAGGACAAAATGGAAATGCAGTGTCAAGATGCGTCCCACTGAGAAATGGGCAGTCACCATGCAAGCATCTCATGGGACACAGGAAGGTGCTGACCGAAAGGACTCACTTAGGAAATAAATACAGCCAGAGCTGAAAGGGGAGGACAAGTTGGGTAATGGAAGAACAGCCTCTGATACCTGATCCTGAGCACAGAACTGATGTTTATGGAAGGTTGATAAATAACCAAGCTTGCAGAAATGTAAACTTAGAAAGTCTAACTCTTGGTGAATGTCTGAGACACATCGAAGGGAGAACCAAACTGATTATAAACTGCTAAGAACACAACTTACAAGAGAGTCCATTTCAAAGAGTACATGCCTGGGGGCTGGGGATTTAGCTCAGCGGCATAAGCGCCTGCCTTGCAAGCAGGCAGTGGTGAGTTCGATCCCCGGTACTGATAAAGAAAAAGACAAAAAAAAAAAAAAAAAAAGAGTACATGCCAAGTCAGATTTTAGGTTTAACGAAGGACAAAGGAAAAATGTCATAGAGGGTTAAGGGTGAGATATTCTCTGAAAATATGCACAGTTAGATCCTAAATCTTCTTTAGATACCAATGTCAGTGTCTGGCAATTGTTTTTTGGGTTTTGGGTTTGTTTTTTTTCCTAGCTATAGCTTGTTTTGTTTTCCTCATACAAGGTTCAGAGGAGATGGTGAATAATCGATCCCACACGCCTACACCTTAATACATGTGCCAGAAATTCCCTTGTTAAAGCTGATCAGTACTGAAGTACATACTTACCTTTAAATATGTAGAAATGAATTTATCAAAACATCACGTGGGACAGTACTTCATAAATATGTACAATTTTTGTGTACCAGCTAAAATTGAGATTTTTTTTTTTTTTTTAGTAATAGGGATTGAATCCAGGGCCTTTATACTGAGCCACATCCCCAGCCCTTTTTATTTTATATTTTGAAACAGAGTCCTTCTGAGCTGCCAGGTAGAACTCAAGCTTGTGATCTTCCTGCTTCAGTGTCCTTCAGTGCTGCGATTACAGTTGTGCACCACTGTACGCAGCGTCTCATCCTGTTTTACTGAAGTCCAAATCTTTTACAATTTTTTTCAAGCCCTTTCAATGGTGGAGCTTAGAGATGTGTCTATTACAGAGAAGTGTCTTGGTTACTTTTCTTTTATTACTGGTGCAAAATACTCGACACCCAAAATGAAGGAACAAAAAGTTTATTTAGCTTAGTTTGTGGAGGTTTCAGTCCATAATTTGGTTCCACGGTAGACAGGTGGCATGGCTCCAGGGCAACACTTGGCAGTAACCATCAAAAGCAGCCAGAGCAAAAGGCGGGAAGAGCAAGCCTCTTTTCCCCCCTTATATTGTATACAGACCACGCCAACCCCCTGCAGAGCGGGGGTGTAGCACAGGACATGGATATTTACAAAGAAAGGATCCTGGCTGCCTGCCGAGTCTGTTAAACTTCTAAACTTCTCAAGGTACAAAATGTATCAACCATAACAAGAAGTGAAAGGAGTTTAAGGACTGTCAGAATGATCTTTTCCAGTGTCTCCCACTTTACATATTCAGTACACTTCCATATGTTGTATGCAACATTCACAGTAACAAACATAGCAAAGCTCAGAGTGGATTGAGTGTGAGCAATCACCAATCCCAGAGTGATTTTTCCATGAGGCCACTCTTTTGGTAGCCTGAATTAGTGAGGTGTATCGATTATTCTTCCCTAAACATTCTTATGTCTTCTAAATTTTGCTCATTTTAAATTCCTTCCTAAAACTATTAAAGTTACCTTAAAATTTAACCCATCTTAAGAGCTTGAATTTGAGAATTTTGTGACCCTTTTCTGGGAACATAAGGACAACTTCGCCTTCATTATCCAGATATTTTAAGAAGACCTGGATGGTTTGAGGTTCTGCAGTACTATAAAACAACCTCATAAAACTACTTTCAAACTGATTTCCTTCCATAAGTCTGTTTCCCAGCACTTTTCAAATGCTACCATGTATTTACCAACGATGGTCTGAGTGTAACAGCTGACTCCTAGAGGAGGTGAGCACATTAATATCTCTTGGGATTCTCATCTCTAAGGTGGAGAAATGATGAAACCGCTAACAAGTTATAGCCTATGATAGTTGATCTCTGTTAACTTGACTGAATTAAGAATGACCCAGAGAGGTGGCTGGATTGTGAGAATGCTTTTAATCAATTGGTAAGTTCTTAGCTAAATGGGCTATTTAGGAGGTGGACCTAGTCGGAAGAAGTAATTATTGAAGGTGTACCTTTCAAGGATAGGACTTCTTGGGCTCTCTCAGGCCTCTTCTCTGCTTCCTGGATGCTATGAGGTGAGCCGCTTTCCTCTGCCATGGTATATCTACTTTACTACTGGCCTAAAACAATAGATCTAGCCAGCCACTAACTGAAACTTCTGAAACTGTGAGCCACAACAAACCTTTTCTGATTTTGTCACATTGAGAGGAAGTTGACTAATCAAAAGAACTGGTATCAGAAAAGTAGGGTTATTGGTGTGACTCTGTGTGCCCATAAGGTTCAGAATCCTTTGGAACTCGTTTGTAGAAAGTGTTTGGAAGGGCTTGGAGAAGCAATTACTGGAATGCTGTAAGCAGAGCTTAATGACCAATTCTCCTTGGAACTCAGACAACCAGAATGGTGACAGGAATGTAGACAGTAAAGACTATGTTCATGAGGTATCGGTCCAATTCTATTTGGAATTGGACTAGTGGGCACACATTTTACATTTTGGGAAAGAATTTGTCTGCTTTTTGTTCATGCCATAAAACTTGGGTGAACTGAGTTTAAAAGTGACAGACAAGTGATCTGGGGTAGGTGGGATCTCAAGGCAAAAGATTTTTTTAAAACTTTCATTGGGCCAGAAAAACATATTTAAAATTGGAAGGTGTGGTTGTTAAGAAAAGTAGAATCATCACATAGAAGCCAAATACTCTGCACCAGGACAAGAAGAAAGAGGCCTTGAGGGTGTCTCAGAAATCAGCAAGACCCCACCCATCACAGGTTCAAGGATATAAAAGTATAAGCCTTTTACTTGAGAAGAGTCCCTGGGCCCTTTGCACAGACAGGGAATGCTTAAGGGATGTTTTCTTCAGGATGATTTCACTGTGCTCAGCCATCCAGCCACTCAGAAAGCACGGCAGCCACCACCAAGGCAGCCTTGCTGCTGCTTGAACTGATGCCAGACCTTAATGGCCTCTACAGGATACTTTTAGCAAGCATGCAAAATGCAAGAGCTGTGCATGCAAAATGCAAGAGCTGTGGGGTCAGGGAGGCTTCCACTGAGACTTCCAAGGAGAGCTTGGGAAACCAGGCAATATTTCACAGGTTTAGAACCCCTGCAGGCAGCAGTGTTTAACAGGGTTAGAATCCCTGCTGAAAAGCCAGTGCACAAATCTGTGAAACTGAAGCTGCATCAAAGACCCCAGGGACTTGAAGAAGCCAGGAATGTGGAACATCTGCTGAGGGAAGTCACAGGAATGAGCAGAGCCAGGCCAACAGAGCGACCATGTGAGCTGTAACTATCAAGACTGTAGGGGCAGAGCCACCTGAACTCCTTAATGCTCACATCCTGCTATCAACAGACACCAGCTGACTAATACCTCATCTTGAAAATGTTGTTACTATTGGAAGCAAAGTAGTATGTTGTAGTATGTTGTCCCAAAGAGAAAATCTTATCTCATTCTAGAATGGGATGATTTGTGTGTTCACAAAATTGAGGTATATTATTTTATTCTCTGTTATATGTGAACAGTTCAATGACTTTTTAAAAAGTACAATTTCTACCTGCATGATTCACACACATTAACTGTCAATGTTGTCTGCTTCTGAAACATATGACCTGTTCCACTTCACTACTGTGCTTCACCACATGGCCTACACCTGTCATTTTTTACTTTCTTCCTTATTGTAGAATAAAAATGTAAATAATGCTAGAACTGGAAAAAATAATTATCTGATCTCCAAGCCTAAACCAGGGTTTCTCTCACCAGTAACTACCATGGAGATAGGATCCCCATGTTTTCCTGGTCTTGAAGGTCCTCTTTGATTATCTTAGAGATCTTTCTATCCTGTATGCCAACTCACTTTTGTGTACTAAATATTTATCTGTGGTACTCTTTCCTATAGGCACAACTACAAGACCGGAATGACCCTCAGCAACTGCTGTTAGACTTCAAACACATGTTTCCTGTTTTGTTTCCATTTAATCCATCTTCTCTGACTATGGACTCAATCCACATTCCAGCATGTCTAAACCTAGAATTCCTCAATGAAGTCTGAAGATGCACCTTTCCAGCATCAGCTCAATTTCCAATGAGCACAACAAGGAAATACATGCAGTTGTGTGAATCTGAGGACCTGTTAAATCTGGTAAAAGTGGATCAAATCAGAGATGGAGAGAGTGCTGGACTAATCAAAATAAAACACATCTCTGTCAATTTTTGTATCTATTCTCAGAATAAAAACACTTGAAATATGGAAGATTATTTTTTAAGGTTTGATTTCAATCTAAACAAATATACATCATAATCTACAGCCACCAAGTAGTCTCTGTTGGCCACATAAAAGGTGCCAGTTCTATAAAATGGAAGCTGCCTAATTTTGATCTTTACATATAACTGGAGAAATGTCCAAATTAACATAATATCAAAATAATGTGATATCAATTGCCCTGGTAGGATTTGTAACAAACAATGGTACTAATAACCATGATAATGGTAGATACTGATATTTTTCTCAGATTGACAAATGGTAAGCATAAATGAGCTCCTGAAAATGTTTTAAGAAAATCCATGTTGAGGCCTTCTGAGAAGCTTCTCAAAGCTGTATGTTAATGACTGGTGAATCAGACATCATTGCACAGCTGACCTCCAGACCAAACATTGTCAGTATTGACTTCTGAAGCAAATTCAAAGCAAAGTCCACAATTGCTCAAGTCCTGTGTAGTCCTAGATTTATGAAAGATTTATGCTAAAAATGCTGTCCCAGTTATCAGACGTAAGGAAGATGGAAAAATACTGTTTTAGGAGGTAGTCCATTCACTTCACAAGTCCAGAAAAACTCTGCAAAAAAAAAAAAAAATATATATATATACATATATATATGCTAAATATGAAAAGAGAATTATTTAAAGATGTAAAGACTAAACAAGTCAGAGTGAAAGCTGTTCATCTCTTTATGTATTTCTTTTTTTTTTTTAATTTTATTTAAGGAGAAAAGAAAAAAAAAAGCAGGGAAAGGGTACAAGTTATACAGATTTACAGAAAAAAAATGAACAGTAGGAAATCACTAGTTAATGGATTACATATTGTCATCTTAGAAATAATTGTTCAAGTCACAAAATTAAAGCTTGTAGAGTGGACATTCCATCAATGATACTGCAAACAGTTCTGTTCAGTGATCCAATAAAACTCTGTGATATCATTTTCTATCTTATACACTTAAATATACATGCAGTTATATAGTTTAGAGCACTTTCTTTTCCTCTCTTTTGTACCATGACTATTACACATTTTGGGTTTCATTGCTCCCACGGTTCTTATTACTTTTTTGGAAGAGAGTAAAACCAAATGTGACATAACAGAACAGAATCGGTCAAGTCAAAAGGGTGGACATAATAGATAATGTAAAAACATAATACAGGTGATCAACAATGGTTACCATAATGTCTCCCGCTATCTCTAATAGAATTGCCTATATCATTAGTTATAATACAATTGAACAAAACAGTAAAGAATAAAACCGACAAAACCAAAACATTGGAGACATTGTAGGTCTTCAAAAGTAGCTAAAAGTCAACAAGAATGGGCGTCATAATGAATCTCATTATCTTCACAGCTGATGCCTAAACTTTCGAACCTGATACTATCCAGCAAAACAGAATAGGGGAACATCAGTTAAAAACCAGATGGTGAGAGTAATACAGGGCTTTAAATCAAGGTAATGAAAAGTCAAAATGGGTTACTATAATATATCCTGCTATTTTTTTCCTTTAATTAAAAGGATAAAGATAAAAAAGTAAATAATGGAGTGGAGATTGAGATAAAAGAGGGCATAACAACGAAACAGCGCAGATCAAAACATAACCATTTAAGCAGAATAGTGTTTCACCACCAGATAATCCTAACCTAAAAGTAGTTACCATATTGTTTCTTTCTTTGAAATCCTTGAGTACAAATTCGTATACTGTAGCATTAAGTATATCAAAACAATGTAAAACCATTCAAGAGAATGACAGCATTACAGAGTATTTAGAATCAACTAACAGAAAATGAACAATGGTTTCTGTATAATCTCCTTGTCTTTAAAAGGTTTTTGCTTATACTATCGTACATAATAAAATCCAATAAGATACAGGCTATTTAGACCATTGGAGACAGAAGGACAAAAGCTAGATGAGACTTCAAGACAAGATGATACTAAATCAGTATTACCTATTAAGATGTCACTTTCTCCAAAATAGCTGTTCCTATCATCCAATCTTCTCTGCCTCATTTCTGTTAAGCTCTTTTTCTGTCAGTAGCTGTCAGTTTGTCTTCTTCATTTTGTTCTCTGCTCCATTTGTTGTGGCCTCCCCGCCACTATTTCTGGGTTCTTTGTATTTTTCTTTTTTTAGAATATCCTGCAATACTTTCTGTAGAGTTGAATTGGTGGTTGCAAATTCCCCCAGTTCCTCTTTATCCTGGAAGCACCTTGTTTTTCCATCAATTTCCAGGGACAGTTGTGCAGGATATCTCAATCTTGGCTGGAGATTATTATCTTTCAATGCTTGAATTATTTCCCCCCACGCTCTTCGTGATTTGATGGTTTGTGCAGAGAAATCTGCTGTAATTCTGATGGGTGTTCCCTTGTAAGTGGTCTGTTTCTTGTCTCTTACAGCTTTTAATATTCTGTTCTTGTATTGAATTTCTGGAATTTTTATTATTATATGCCTGGGTGTTGCTCTGTTTGGGTTGTAGGTAGCTGGGGTCCTGTATGCCTCATACATCTGAGTATCTTTACCTTTTGCTAAATTAGGAAAATTCTCCTGGATTATTTCTGTGAGTAGCTTTTGTAGTTCACTTGTTTGCATCCCTACTTCTTCTTTTATGTTCTTAATCCTTAAGTTATGGATCCTCTTATCATCTTCTTGTCTTTGTATTATTGCTGTTTGTTTCTTTGTTATTTTTAAGAAGTTTTTCATTTCATTCTCCCATATTACAAGTCTGCCCTCCAGTTCAGATAGTCTGTCCTTAGTTTCTTTCAAGCTGTTATGCCAGTCTTCGATAGACTTCTTAGTATCTTGGTAGTCCCTTTGAACCTGCTTCACGTATTCTATGCTTTCTCTGTTTTCTCCATCAAACAATTCTCCCCTTTTTTTCTGTTCTTCCATTCCACCACCTGTTTTTTCTTGGGTGGTGCTTAGCATTTCTCTAACTATTCTGCATACTTCTAGCTTCAGGTCGTTGATAACTTCATTCCTGAATTGGTCTATGAGGCTCTCTATATGGTGCCTTATGTGTATTGGTGCGGTGTCTGCTATTGCCTGTTTCTCAGAATTGGGGGCCGAGGAGCCTTTCTTGTTGCTGCCTCTTCCCATGCTGCCTCTTCTTCTCTGTTCCTTATATATGCAAGCTTATATAAGAGGCCCAGCTTCTCTCCCAGTCAGCCACAGCCTGATCGAATTGCGCCAGTTAGGTGTTCCCGCTCACCGCTGCGCACCAGGGAGTTACGGACCAGGCAGCCTATGCGTCTCCCCTCCCGGCCACCGTCAGGCTCTGGGATCTGGGTTGGCACAGTCTACCAGGTCCGCCGGCAGCGTCACGCAGGCCAGGCACTTTTCACCAATCCCGCCCGAGAGGGGGATGTGTGGCTGGAGTCGCCACCGCGCCCTGCTCCCGCAGGACTGCTCGGGCCCAGAAAGTCCTCTGCTGGAGTCAAACTGTGGTAGAGTGTCAGTTTCTCTCACTCACCTCACCATAAGTCAGTGCACGCCTCCCTGCCGTTCGCAGATTGCCGTTCTCAGAGCTTCTGCACGTCTCTCCCCTTGCTGAGCCGCTGTAGAGGCAGCCAGCCGCTGCGCGGCAGGAAACCCAAATCGCGGCTTACAATGGCGCGGTTCCAGCCTCCACACCGAGTCTTTTCTGTTCCTGTTTTAGCACCAGGACTGCATTCCAAGTTGGCTTCTCTCAGCCCAGTTCGTTCCTGAGTCAGTAGAGCATATCTCCACCTGCTTATGTCTCCTTAGTCCGCACCATTCCTGGCTTCTGAGCCGAGTCTTTCAGAGAGCCGCCGGTAGTTGCTGTTATCTGTCCGCCATGTTCTCCCGAAAGCGAAAGCTGTTCATCTCTTAATGCCACTAGCTCCCCCATTGAGTATTGTTATGCTCATTAAATAATGTGCTACTAGTTCTAGACCCCCAAGACACATAAGGAACTAAACAGGCCGTGGTTTGAGAATCTATTTGCTTTTTTAAAAAGTCTTTAAAAAATAATTTGTGATCATTAATTTATCCAAAGATCTGTATGTTTTGTTTTGTTGAGGGTTTTTGTTTTTGGAGGGTTGTTTTGTTTGGAACTTTTTGTTTTGAGAGAATAAAATGGCATAGGACAATTTCCCCTTATGTGTCTCTACTGTAAAATAGATTTTAAAAAGACAATTCACTAATAGGCTTAGATGTTTACTGGCTGATCTTAGATTTTTTTAAAGGGTTTTTTAGACTGTTTAAAAGCAGTCATTCAATAGAAAATCCTACATATTTTTCCACCTAATTTTTACTATCTTTCCTATATTTAATAACACCATACCGTTCCTATAACAGGAATGGATGGTTTGCAAATCAGTCAAGAACAGCCTCCATATTACATCAAGAAGATAAGATTTCTTCATATATCAGAAGTAAACTAACCCCACCACGGCTGCGGCAACCTAGAAAGCCAACCAACCTGGAAAGCTCCCAGAGACCCGGGCCTGAACAGTAATGCCCTGTCCCCGTACAGTTCAATGTCCTGGGTCATTCTCCCTCCTGCTGGAGCCAGAAGGCCCAGGTCCTACTGACAGTCATGTCCAAATTGTCATCAGATCATCTCCTCCATGTCCACATTAAATATCTTGGCTTCTCTTGAGGGTCTCAGAGCACAGTTAGTTACACAATCACTAACATCTGTGACACACGCTTTTCATCGTACACACTGACTTTGTTCGGAAAGCCAGTTGAAATCAACTGAGTTTGTGGCTACCTCTTCCTGTTAAAAATTGTTTATGAAGTATAATTTTTGATGCACTTTAGTCTAAAACTGGGTCTCATGCAGACTGTCCTTAATCTTCAAGATAACCAAAAATGCCTCGTTACTGGAGTGATAAGCAGTTTTGACAAACAGAAACTCCACAAACACAATGGCTTACAGTCCTTTAATACTGTCTTAGATCATCATTCCCTCCATCTCTTTGGGTTGCTACTCTGCTGTCATGGTCTGTCACTAGATGCCAAAGGCAAATAGAGTAAATGGTGTTGGCAGAGGGCATGAGAGTAGGCTTGTACTTAGCTTAAGAAATGGCAGGTTTAGATTTCTTCAAGGTATTTCACTGGAACTGTAATTTGTAGATGAGTAACAAAAAAAATATAGGAATTGGTCACATATTGCTTAGATCTGCTCTATTTAACATGGAGGCTGAAGTATTTTTAGGAAACTTTAACCTTTTGTTAGCATTTTTATTCTCTGTCATGTATGGTCAATTTAACCCAAACACTTGCCAATTTTATGAAATCTGTAGCAACTTAATAACATAAAGGTTCAAATTCTGCACTAGATGCTAATATTTAAAAATCTAGTTTGATACCTTTCTCACTCTGTGCCTTTAGCTGTTCCTGAGATAACTGATTTATCAATTGTTTCTCTGAAATAAGTTGCTGTCAGCAGAATTTCAATGTTCAGTGTAATATGGTAGATTTCACAGGCATTTTAAAGATTATTTAAGGATCAAATATTTATAGATCAATTTGTCTTTAGTATTATATGGGACCTGTTTTCCTATAGTACACATGAATTAGTTATCACTGAAGCTGAGAGTGCATGGATTCTCC